CTTGAGGTTTGTCATCTGAGGTCCCAGTAACAAGAGCTGTCTATAAATGTCTTCACAGGAAGTTTTCATTTTTATATTCTTTCTAAAAAGCCTTTTTTTCACTTAGGAATCTACAAATCCAAGATTTCTTGTCTCCACAAAAGTCCCCTCCAACATACAGGAAAGGAATGGAGAGCGGGTGTCATGAGTCTGTGCATAGGTGCAGGCGTGAGCATGGGCGTAGGCTAAAGCAGCCAGCTGCAAGTCCACAATTCTCCTATTGTTTCGCATCCTACCTGTTGTCTCTTCATCATTCATTCCACCTCTTCTCTATTGTGAGGCAGTCATATTGCTGGAGGGCCTGGGTGAGTACTGATTGCTTGAAGCTAATTAAGATAATTCCATCCCCCTTGAACACTTTAAGTTCAGGGATTTGCACCTAACCCAGTCCAAAGCCAATTACTCATGATATTCCATAGCCCTGGTGATAGATTTGTCTGAAGTGGGCACATGACTTAAGCTTATTTAGTCAGACTGAAGTTTCTTTTTTCCCTTGGATGTGAATGAAGAAACATGTAGCTCTTGGAGTTTCTGGAAGCCATTTCACTTTTGAATTTTCCAGTGATGTGAGTCAACACATTCCACTGTTTTTTAAGTCAAGACATGGTAGATTGGAAACCCTGGTGGTGTACTGGTTAAGTGCTACAGCTGCTAACAAAAAGGCTGGCAGTTTGAATCCACCAGGTACTCCTTGGAAACTCAATGGGGCAGTTTTACTCTGTCCTATAGGCTTACAATGAGTCAAAATAGACTCTATGGCAACAGGTTGGTTGGTTGGTTATGGTAGATTATTTCCAGAGACAATGGCCAACAAATACTCCAGTCTCTGCATGTACACGACACTCTGCTCATCAAGAAATGAAACCTATTTCCCCTCCCCTTGAATCTGGGGTAGCCTTATAACTTACTTTCACCAGTAGAATATGGCAGAAGTGATGTACTGTGACTTCCAAGCCCAGGCCTTAGAGGCCTGATAGCTTCCCCCTTGACCCTCTTGGGATCCAGCTGCCACGTGAAAAAGCTTGGGTTGGACTCCTGAATGATAAGTAACCACACGGAGAGAGAGAGAAGCCAGCCTGCTCCCAGCTTTCGGTCCACCCAGCTGAGACACTAGACATGTGACTGAAGCCATCCTGAACCTGCCAGCCCCAGCTGAATCCCCAACAGAATGAAGCTGCATGAATAATCCCAGCCAACACCAGGTGGAGCAGAAGAACCATCGCACTAAACCATTGTTGTTTTAAGCTCCTAAATTATGGGGTGGTTGTTACAGAAGAACAAATAACAGATACACTGTGTGAGTTAGATATGCGAGATTAAGAATTATAATCACGTGTAATGTGTATTTCATTATAATGTATTAAAATAACGTATTACTTTAATACAGAGAGTTCTAACTGATTTATTTCCATAGGTTTAAAATTAAGATACTGTCGACTGCTAATTATAGAAAACCCAATTCAACTGTTTTAAATAAGGCTCTGTATTGTCTCACACAATAAGAGATTCCAGGTTAGGGCAGCAGCAGGATTGGTTAATAGCCCAATGGTGTTATCAAAGACCCACGCTCGTTCCATCTTTCCACTCTGCCGTCTTCAACGTAAGGACTTGCTCCTTAGGCTACCCCCTTTCATAGGTGCACGATGGCTGCAACACTGTCAGGCCTCCCATCCGGACACAACAGCATCCAGCAGAAAAAGAGGAACATTGTCTCTTTATGTTTCCTTTTCAGAGTGAGGAAACCTTTCTCAAACAACCTCAAATAAGCTTCCCCTCAGGGAAGCTTGAAGTTGTTTTAAACCAATCACTGGGAAGAGAAATGGAGTTACCAACATCAGTTTAGACAAACTAGAATTTACTTCTAGCCATGCGGTGTAGGGTGCATACCAGGACCAAGTTGGATTTCTCCCAGCAAGGATGAAGAGAGGATGGTTGTTGCACTGGAACCAACAGTATGAGGAATAATTAATGCTCACCATCGAATAAAATGCAGACTCCCGAAAGGCACGCGGCCTTTATCCGGTGGCCTCATGTGATCTCTGCTTTGCAGCCCCCACCCTCCAATCCACACGGCACAGTTTGCAAGGCAGACCAAGAAAAAACCATCGTCATCGAGTCCGTTTCGACTCAGGTCCTGGCAGGAGACAGAAGACATTTTCAGGAGGGGATTTAGAAGAGAGTTTTATGAAGGTACTATTGGCTGCAGCGCGGTCATGGTTCAACAAATCATCAAAAGATGTTGTTACCCAGCGGTGTAACAGCCGTGCGAGGCTGCTACCATCCTCAAGACGCACGGGAGGGAAAAGCGTTCTTAGTGGAGCCTGACACGAGTTGATGGCACAGAAAGGGGTGAGCCTGACAGACTGTAGTCACAGAGGACACACACACACCAGAGCCCAGGGTGAGACGGGGAAGACGAGAGGGAAGGAACACCCCAGCCTCTCCCTCCTGCTCTCCACTATGCAGCTGACACCTCAGGTGCTGAACGTTTACTAAAGTGGTCCATCAGCCTCCTGGGCCACAAAGCAGGGGAGAGGAGAGCAGAGGGTGGATTCTGATGGAAAATGCGGAATCCGTGAGTTAGCTGACCAAAACACAGAACAGTTTGCTGAAGAAAAATATTAGAAATACTGGTGGTAGTCTAGTCATTATGATCGTTCACTCGTACTCATTTCCAGTCACCTGTTTCTAATCCAAAAAGAGGCCAAGACCGCTCGGGTCCACAGCCCATCAGGACAACGTTCATATTAGGTTGTATTGCTAGCACCCAGCTCAGGGCAGTGTTCGTGCAGACCGCTGAGGAAGGCGTTGTTACGCCTCTGGTTGCTCGGTTTCACGACTGACTACCTGTAACAGCAAGAAGAGACGTTGGAAACAAAGTCGGAATGCGGACTTAGAGAAGAAACGGGTCGTGACACTGGTTGCAAGCATCTCATCATTGGGGAAACAAAACCTGAATCTGGGACCGAAATCTTGCCATTCCGTGTGGTGGAAGAGTTCTCATCTCGTCCAGGTTCAAACTAGCAGCATGACTGCATGTCACCGGGACCTGGAGCTCAGGCAGAGAGGAGCTGTGTGCCCTGGGCACCGCCTGGGCTTCGCCGCCTGGTGGCCGGGCCTGTGTTGGCGGCCCCAGGACCGAGCTGAAGCCGGACGGGGCCAGGCCTGGGGAGGGCGAGGATGCCCAGGATCCGGCGGCCTGGAAGACAGGTTCAAGGGCTGATTTGGATACCCTTATCGACTCCCGATTACAAGTATCTTCGACTGTCACAGCTCTGGAGATTGAGGTCAAGAGGCGGAGTATCTGAAAGAAACAACGACCCCAAGTTGCAAATCCCGTGTCCTCGCCTTCACCCTACCGCTCAAAGCCTGCCTACCCTGGGGGAGCCGCTTGAGTACCGTCCTCGCTCCAGTTTCTCCACCTGCGGAGTGGGAGGAGCCAGGCTGGGCGCTGCCTGAGCTCAGCTTTGGGAGCAGACCGTTCTCCTGGCTTCCCGCCTCCAACCCAACCGGGACCCTCATTTCCCAGCTTAAAAACGCTCTCGGTGCAGGAGGGCCGAGCGGAGACAGCCTCTCCCGCCAAGCGTCAGCCTCCCGGCGTCGCGTCCTCACGGCCCCTGTGGAGCCGCGGGGACAGCGGGGTGAACCCCGCGAGAGACGCACCCCTCACCCGCGCGAACCCTGCCGCTGGCCCTGCGGCGCCCCGGGCCCTTCCCCCGAGTCCCCGACGCCCTCCCTTCCCTGTCCCGCAGGATCTTTCCACCCCGGCGGGTCTTCCGGGGAGAGAATAAAAGTTTCCCGGCCCCAGAGTCCGAAAGAGGCGCGGCAGAAGCCACAAGTCCGCGCATCGAAACCCCACTGGCCCCGGGGACACCCCGGCCCCGGCGAGGTCTACACATGGCGGCGGAGGTGGATACACGGTTAGCGCTCAACCCGTTTTTCCACCGATTTGCAAAACGGAAAGTCACCACCATCACCCTCCGCCCTCCCCAGCCGCGCCGACTCCTCCCGGGAGCCGGAAGCAACAGGGAGTCGTTTTCGGGGAGCGGCAGCGGCCTGCGAGGCTGGGCTCGGGGCCTCCCCCCGCAGCTCCTCCTCCCCCAGCCCCCCCGGCCTCTGCCCCCCGGGGTCCTGGGCCTGCGCCCCAGGAGCGCGACGAGCAGCGCCAGCCCTCGGACGCGGAGACGCCCGCCCGCGCCGCGAGGGGCGAGAGGGGGCGCGGGGCCGACCCCTCCGAGCGCCCTTTGGGGGCCGCGCCCGGGAACGCGGACCGAAGCCCCGGCGCCCGCAGCCCGGCGGCGAGGGGGGGCGGGCAGCGTGTGCACGCGTGTGCGTGTGTGAGTGTGTACAATGGCGGGGGGCGGGCGTGCTGGCGGCGGGGCGCATGCTCACACGCCGCTCGTGACGTGCGCGGCCGAGGAGCTGGAGAGGAGCTAAGAGCCGCGGCTCTCGGCGGGGACGGCGAGCCGAGCCGGAGGAGGAGAGGAGGCGGGCTGGCCGGAGCGGAGCCGGAGCCCGAGCAACACCGGGAGGAGGGCGCGTGGAGCCCGGGCCCGGGAGCCGGGGGCGCCGAGCGGCAACTTCCGCAGCCTCCGCGCCAACGCCGACCAGCCGCCGCT